CTCTTTTCTGATTCATCAGTGAAGATGAGAATGTCATCTAGATCAGCAGATACAAACTCATTAAGAAAATCTCAGAGTGTTCAGTTGATATACTTCTGAAATGTACTGAGAATGTTAGTCAGTTCAAAGAGTGTGACTATTCATTCAAAGAGGTTGTAACATGTTCAGAATACTGTAAGTTGTTCATCTTCTTCAGGGACACGAATCTTATGAAATGCAGTGATGACATCTAGCTTTGTAAATCATTGAGCTCATCTGATACATGCTAGAGTTTCATTGATAAGAGATAAGAAATAATGATCTTTCTTTGTCAATCTGTTCAGATCACAGTAGTTCACACAGAATTGAAGTTCTTCATCTGACTTCTTTGCAAAGAGAATAGAAGCTGCAGCAGAAGAGTTGTTAATATGTATGAATTTCTTATTCAACAGATCATTGAGTGTCTTCTGAAGAAGAAGAAGTTCATCTCAAGACAGATTATAAAGAGAGTCTCACAGTGACTTAGAGTTCTTATCATTCTTCTTTTCTAACTTAATACTGTGATTCACTTCTAGGTCTTGTAAAGAAGGTATATTTATAATATTATCTTATCAGAAGACATCTAGATATTCATGATAGTATTGAGAGAGTTTTGTGTGAGAATCTGTTATTATAGTACAGAATAACTTTTCTAAGGTCTTTTTAATATCAGTCAGACTGATGAAATAGATTAATATATAATTCTGTTAACAGTGAACTTATCAGTGACTCTGTCAGTGATTTTAATAATGACTTCTTTTTTGAAGTATTTCATAAGTGTTGACAGAGATCTGTGTAAGATTCATAGTCTTGTGAATATCATCTTCATGAATTCTATTATCATTAGAGAATATCAAGCTTCTGTTTCAAGTATTCAGTGAGATGTCTTGTTCAGATAGTCAGATAAGTTCTAACATAAGATTATAATTGAGATTATCAACTTCATATGCATAGATATCTTTATATTGATGTTCTTTCACATCTATATTTAGTTTCATCATGTAATGAATACAAACATCTTTCAGATCATCAAATTCTGTGAGAAGTCAGAGTTTTAATAAAGAGATATACTGAAGATTATAATATCTTACAACTGAAGATTTTATCATTGTATAGTAACATAGACTGCTGTCTATCATGACTTTCATATTATATATATTATCAATCACAGTAGATACAAGAATTGCATTTATTGTCATTTTCTCTTCAAATCATTGTTGTCTAATCTCTTTAAGCTTCTGTTTGTAAATTTGAACAGAAGCTAATCTTTTCCCTGTTTCACTGAGACATTCTCATAGTTATCTTCTGAATCTTCCCTCACTGCAATGTGGTTAATGTGGACAGATACTGATTCATTCTTTGAGTGAGAAGGCATGTAGACTAATCAGCAGTTGAAAGCAATGTATTCTGACCTATTGTCACGCTCCCGGCCGCGCCAAGGCCCCGCTGCGGTTCCACACGGCCCATCGCTTCCATGCGGATGATTCCATCCCGTCTGAACCGGTTTCCAACCACTCTATGATATCATTCAGATATATCATAGAAAGATCCGATTGATGAATATAAGAACCTCACTTCTATACAAGGTCAGCAGATTACTCTTTCTTGGTAGTAAGGCACTGCTGAGGTATCACTCCAGCTACTCTCACTTGTAGAATAAGAGGAGGATATTCACCCATTATCTATATAGAATAGCTAGATGCTGGCTTCTCATCAAAGAAGTCAGTGATTTGTTTTTCTTCTACTGGAATATATATGAGAGTTACTGCATTTCTCATACAACCTTCTTAGTATACTAAGTATCATATCTGTGATATTCTTGCAATAACCCTGTAGCCTACAAGCTCATTATTCAAGCAAGATAGTCAAGCCCACTCATACAGCTTCTCAAACAACTATTTCTATATAACACTGCTGACTAGTCATCACTTCAGTTCTGTTATATTACAATTTGAATTGCTTGACCTGATTATAAGTTTGAATCAGTCAAGCTCTAACAGACTGATATGGCCCCACACACCCGCGCTGAGACCAACCTGACTCCACTCTCTGGAAGAAACTCTACATCATCTCCTAGAGTGTGTACACCTCTACCTCAACAGGAATCTGAGATTCCTGAACCCACTGCACACTTTGGCATAGGTTCTTCAACTGCCCTGCCACCACCGCGGCCTCTACACACCTATGTCTATCATAAAGATAGAGAGATTAAGGTCAGAGATCCTCTGAGATACAAGAGAAACACATTATCTGAATTTCACAGCTTTATTCATATTCTTGAACAGAAATTCCACCTTAATCTGAGCCAGTATAATACTCATGAGATATAAGTAATATACATCATCAACCTTCTTGAAAGTATCTCTGCAACTACTTGAGTTATCAAGAAGAGAGAGCTTGAGTGTACTGATGCTGTAATGACTTAGAAAGAATTCAAGAACTTTCTACTGAATTAAATTGAAGATCATCACAACTGTGGCTTCACAGCAGCACAGTGATTCAACTCATTATATCAATGAGATGATGAGAATCCTTCTGATTTCAATGCAAGATTTGAAGAATATTGAGAGAAATTAACTGATAATTTGAATCAATTAAAGACACAGCTTTATCTCATGAAGCTGACTCACAAGGTGCAGACAATGATATCACAGTATCAGAGTTTATCAACTAATTACACTGAGCTTGTCAACCTGGCTTTCTGAATCTATTTGAATAATCAATTCTCTGAGAAAAAGATTAACAAGACTTCTTCTAAGCAATCAATAATAGAATCTAAATGATGCAGTGACAGCTTCAGTGTAGAGAAAGTAAAGAAGAATTTCAAGTATTCTAATTCTTCACTCACTGTGAAGAAATATTAAAAAAGATTTGATAAAGATCTCTGTTTTAACTGCAGAGCTAATGATCACTATATCAGTGATTACAAGAAGCTGAAGAAGAGAAGAAACTGAGAAGACATCTTCTCAAAGTCAACTTCTCTTCTGACAAATGTATCTGTGAAAGATAAAGAAGAGAAAGAAATGAAGAATTGATAATTCTCATGTCTCTGAGTTTATGTTACAATCACAATGCATACTCTGAATAAGAAGATATTAATAAGATGCCTACTTAACTCTGAGATAGATGTTAACTTCATATTCTATTTCTTTTCTTTAATAAAGAATTGAAAGAAGATAGACCTGTCAGATCATACAAAATTTACTGATGAAATGAAATGTCACTGTTTTGACATAATTCAAGTGAAGTGTGTGATCACAGACTCAGAAGAAACCTTTAAGAAGAGCAGTCTGCTTCTTCATACAGTCAATATCATAGATGAGAACATTATTCTAGATCTCTCATAATTGAGAGAAAACAATTCTCTCATTGACTGAGTCACTCAGATGTGACAGTACTGTCTCACTAATGAAGAGATAGTGATAGAGAAATCTGAAGAGTTTCATCAGAAGAATCTTGAGAAAAAGATAGAGTTGATATACTGTGTAGCAGATAACTGAGACTTAAGAATAGATGAAAAAGCTATCACTCTCACTGTAAGATTAGCAGCAGTATTCATCATTAAAGATGAATATATATGACATCTCTTTATAGATTATAAGAATATCTTTTCAGAAAGAGAAGCAGTGAAGTTTTCTGATATCAAGATATAATATAAGATTCATCTTGAAGATAGTGCAACAGTACTGTACAAGCTTCTGTACAACTTATCTGTAAAGAAATTGAATATTCTGTATAAATATCTTGAAGAAGTGCAATCAAAGAACTGAATACACTTATCAAAGAGTTCAGCAGAGACATCTATACTCTTTATACTTAAGAAAGACAGTAGACTACACCTATGCATAGACTACAGAGGTCTTAATAAGATAACAGTTAAGAATTGCTATTCATTACTGTTAATTAATAAGATGATTGATTGATTATCTGAAGTAAAGATATTCATCAAGATTGATATACAGAATATCTATCATAGAATCAGAGTTAATAAAGATGATGTTTGAAAAACAGCTTTTCATATCAAGTACAGTAATTTTGAATATCTTGTTTTATCTTTTGATCTTTGTAACACTTCAGTCATCTTCCAGACCTATATAAATGAGACACTGTAAGGCCTTGTCAATGTCTTCTGTATAGTATATCTGAATGACATTCTAATCTTCTTGAAAACAGAGAAAGAACATGATACTCATGTTTAAGAAGTGTTAAGTCACTTGAGATAGTATCAACTCTATACAAACACTGAAAAATGCTCATTCTACATGCAGGAGATTGATTTCTTAGATTATATTATTGAGATAAATGACATTTCAATGAACAGAAGCTGGGTCTCTGTCATCAAGAACTAACTGACACTGTGAATGTATCACAAGATACAGATGTTCCTAGAATTTATGAACTTCTACAGACAATTTATCTATACATATTCACAGATTACTGTCTCTCTTACAGATCTGTTAAAGAGAAGTGTGAAAGACAGAAAAATAAGATTATTTATCCTCACTCAAGACACTGCACAGGCATTTGTAGAATTGAAACAAGCTTTTACAGATATCATAATACTGAATCATTTTAATCCTGACTTACTCAGTCAGTGTGAGACTGATGTATCTGAAAATAAGATCTGTGAAATCTTTTCACAGTTGACACTGAAGGCCTTTCAACATTGAAAGAATCAGAGAATAATCATCTCTGAGAATATAGACAATGAAATATCTGTGAGAGAAGACTTTTTCACAGAGTCTATAGACACTGTAAATGATGACTTTCAGTGGGCGGGACGTCCAGAAGCTATCCATCGACCTTTTTGAAAATACAAAAAAACCGGGCCAGCATTCTGTCCTCTAATGCCTCTGTTTGTACTACACAGGTAAGAGGAGTACTGTGTCAAAACCCAACGTTAATTCCAACAACTCCAATGCCAACAGCGCTTGCATG